ATATATGTGTGTGTGTGTGTGTGTGTGTGTGTGTGTCCCAGGAAGAGGACCCAGCCTGCTCCCATGAGTGCTTTCCTAGGGGAGTCCTGGCCCCCTTGACTCCCTCCCATTCCCCTAGTGCACCTCATCTCCTGAGTCTCTCTTTGTCCTTGTGGGTCCTTGACCCTCTTTCTCATGGATCCTGAGTGCCCCTGACCCTCTTTCCTCCCCCACAGTTTTCCACCTGTCCCACAAGGTCACCAGTATCGTCCCTGAGAGTGCTCTGCTTATCGTTCTGGGCCTAGTGCTGGGCGGCATCGTCTGGGCAGCAGACCACATCGCCTCCTTCACACTCACACCTACGGTCTTCTTCTTCTACTTGCTGCCCCCTATTGTGCTGGACGCCGGCTACTTCATGCCAAATCGGCTCTTCTTTGGCAACCTGGGCACCATTCTGCTATACGCTGTCATTGGCACCATATGGAATGCAGCAACCACGGGCTTGTCCCTCTATGGTGTCTTCCGCAGTGGCTTGATGGGTGAGTCCATGTACTGCTCTCTGGGTAGATTTAAGTCACTTTGCTTATTCAAGGTAAGAATGCAGATCACAGACCTAAAGGGTTTAGGGCTAGGAGTGGTGAGCGGTGTCTCTGTGGACTTCTTAAGTAAATACCCGGCATGTATAAGAAGATTCAATCCATTATTAGCTTTCCCTGGGACATCTGCAGGCTGAGCCTTGTGTATCCTATTTAGAATAGATTTGTGATCACACAGGTCAATAGGGTTGGCACAGGCAGGGAGGGGGGAGCCAGATGCTGAGCCCCATGGGCTATGGCAGTGGCCAGTAATCAGCACTCAGCTTACAAGTGGATCACAAGGCTGAGCACCCCAAAGACTTGAGTGATTTGGTACTGTTTCTGCTCAAATCTACTAGTGATTACTTCACACAGCCCTGGTCACCTCCTGGGCATACCCTACCCTCTGTGTTGGTTCTCTGTCCAGCTGGGAGATAGCTAGTGAGGAGATAGTAGGTAAATCCTCAGCAGATGTGAATAGATGTTCACAGGGAGACCCAGAATCAGGGTGGTACTTGCTGAGTAAATGAGGACCTTGAACTCTAGAGACCAAAGAGAAACAGGAAGCAGGGACTATCAAGTTGTCCTTGTCCTTACTGCGAGGAGCTCTCTTGAGCCCCTGCTGTTCAGCATCACCAGACAGAGACCCTAAGAGCAAGGACCTGGCTGGCCTCTGAAACTATAAGCATCTACTCTGGGGTGCATGCCACTGGTCACATTGGCAGTGCCATAAAGTGATTGAGACACACCTCAGATGCCCCTCTAGGTCCAGAGAGATGTTTTGGGATGTGGAGCAGGGACTCCTGGGCCTGATTCCCATGACCCTGTTGCCTACAAGGTCCCAGCATGTGACATCCCTGGAGCAGTTTAGAGAGTACATGAAGAAGCCTCTACCAGACCAACTTACTTCGTAAGCATGGTCTTTAGGTCTTTAGCTGAGCCTTGGCAAAAGAGCTTATCCTGGAAACTACATGGTTACCAAACTCTAGAGCATTCCCATCTCTAGGGATATCCAGGTCCATCTTCCTGCTATGCCATAGCCCTGCAGGATTGTCCTACCACAGTACCCTTTGAGAACAAATGTCATTGTACATCATTGTCCAGAGTTAGAGTCACTCTCCCATCGAAGACATAGGATACTGGCCTGTGCTTCACCCTTGGGACCCAGCTGGTCAAGGCTGACCATTAGCCAAAGTCGGAGAGGAACGAGGACTCATGGTATGAGTCTACCTTGCTCTGGGAACTCACTGAGCTTCCCAGACAGTGGACAGCCTCTGCAGACAGCAGCTCAAGTCTGGGAATAACCCTTCATGAGAGAGTCAGTGTGGGCAGCCATCTTGCAGATCATCAATTCTAGGCATTCCTGACAGGGCCAATGTGGGTGAGCTGCCCAGATAAGGAAACCAGCCCCAATTCAGTGTTCTGGACTTCTGAGAACCAGCTTGTTTTTGGAATGAACTTGGGGTCTGTTGGGGTTCTGAACCAAGAGGCCAGCCTTGCTGAGGCATTTCAAGGTTATCCCACGAGTTAGTTTGCTCTGGAATGCTGAGCAGGGCCATGTGTGGCAGTGCATGGTTCCCTTTTAAAATGGAAACCCCAGGGGCCTCTGGTCCTAGCTGGAGGCAGCAGGGTTTATCCCCTGCTCTCTACTCCTTCCCGGGGTGCACTGACAGCCTGAGACACTTGCCTCCAAAACCCCAAGCCTTGGTCCCAAGGGATGGTATGTTGTGCCTCAGCCCAAAAAGGAGAGTGAAGCCCCGTGTGGGGAACTGTGTGGCTTTACATATTCAGGGCAGCCCTGGCTTTTATTTATGCTGCCTCTGATCTTCCAGGGGCCCAGGAGATGTGGAGTCTGGTCAGCAGGGACAGGGTGGCTGGTCTTTGTCCCATGGTTCACATTTCTTACAGGTGAGCTGAAGATTGGGCTCCTGGATTTCCTGCTGTTTGGTAGCCTGATTGCTGCTGTGGACCCAGTGGCCGTGCTGGCTGTGTTTGAAGAAGTCCATGTCAATGAGGTCTTGTTCATCATTGTTTTTGGAGAGTCACTGCTGAATGATGCAGTGACTGTGGTGAGTGATGGTGGGGTCCCTTGGGTGACTAAAGGGCATTTTGGTTATTGGGAGGTACAGGGACACCTTGCCAAGTGGGCATTGTTAATACCCCTTGGATAGATAAGCCAGAAAGAGGGTCTGCTATCAGTACATGGCCCCCTTCATAGCCATGCTTGCAGCCTAGGAAGCTTGAGCCTTGTAGGGGATGTCCTCGGTCTCACCCTTCTCACTGGTGCAGCAGCCTGGGGGTTGGGGAGCAGACCCTGCCCTTGTTCTGGCTCCCCAACTCGACTTCATCTAATTTCTTTCTTTCACAGTCTTGATCCCACCCATTTCAGGGGTACAGTGCTTTCCTATTGAAATCCCATATCTGCATCTCCCAGTGTGGGTATCTTTAATCTTGGACCTATATTTGGTGCTACTGATTTCTGCCTTCTAAAGAAACAGATAAAAAAATAACAAAATCTCATAGGAACTGTATTAATATTATGGGCCCACCGTAACAAAATACCACAGAAGCCTAGAGTTTAAACAGCTGGAATTGATTGTCTCAAGATTGTCTGAAGGCTAGAGACTGAGACCCAGGTGTACAGCTGATTCTGGAGACCTCTCTCCTTGGCTTATAGATGCTCCCTGTGTCCTCACATGGTCATCCTCTATATCTGCATCCTGATCTCTTGTACATGAGAGCTCACCCTATTCATCTCATTTCATCTTAACTAACTCTCTGACTCCATCTCAAACGGTTGCATTCTAAGGTCTTGTGGTTGGGACTCAGAGACCTGTAAGACAAAGGGACACATTCAGCCCCTCTCAGGAGTCAAGATTCTCCAGTGGCATCTGGGGCTTCACAGACAGCACATGGGATAGAATAAATTTCAAAATCCATTCCCAGATAGGCTTCAGCTCTCTAAGAAGGAATGAGGGATTAACTGGTAAGAATGGGTCCCAAGGACTTTGTTAATGCCTGAAGAAGTATGTCCTGTTTCTTCTGTCCTCTGAAAGTGCCTGTGGTTTCTAAGCAAATCTCCATCTTGTACTCCTTTAGAATGCAGGAGAGAGAACCCCAGGGTACATTGTGCTAGATTTCTCTTTGTATATGGGGGAATATGAGGGCCCATTTGAGACTTCATTAGAAACTCATAAAGTAGCTCCCAGTCTGCCTGAGTCATCATAACCATGAGAGTTAGGAAATGAGGCAACTCTGTACTCTATGGAGAGAAGGCCTGGTCTGGCCTTTAGCCTTGGTGCAGGAGGCAGAGGGCAGAAGCATGGTACACAGGAGCCAGGACCCCGTGGTATGTATGTACAGGACCCCAGTGTATGTAGAGTGAGCCTCCTGTGGACCAGTGACTCCCTCACTGCCCTCATGGTCCATGTCTCTCCCACTTTTATCCTCATAAAGATGGATGCACAGCCCGAGAGAGCCTCCTAAGGACTCAGTGCCCACCATAGAGACATCCCAAAGAGTCTGCATCGCTATCCCTGGGTCCCCTGAACACCTGCAGAGCATAGAGCAGGGATTAGAGGTGGGCCTTTTTCCCTGGATGTGGGGTCACAGTGCTTCATTTTGGATAGCTCAGGCTCAGAAAACATCTGTCCCTATATCCCTGATATCAGAAAAGGTCCTGGGCTTTGCTGCAAAGATGAAATAGGATGAAGGTTGGCAACATGCTGGGACCACAGTGCACAATCCATAGCCCATAGTCATGTAACACAAAACTGAGAATTAAAATGCATAGGGTCAGCTTTTTGGCTCTCTTACTGCAGGTGTAAAAAGGCCATCTCTTCTGGAACACTCTCATGTTCGCACATCCTGCCTGCTCGCTCCTGACCCTTTCCTGTTGACCATTGTCACCTTCTGCTGACTACAAGCGTTGTAGCTATGTCAGACTTTGCTCTGGGCCCCAAGTCCAGCAAAATGGGAGCATTGTACAGGGAGGGGCGAGTGCTGACACAGGGCTGACCATATGTGTCCCTGTCTTCTGTTCCCTCAGGTCTTATACAACGTTTTTGAATCTTTTGTGACACTGGGTGATGATAAAGTGACTGGCGTGGATTGTGTGAAAGGCATAGGTATGTACTGAACAGGTCCTGCCTGACCACCCTCAGGTTCAGTGGTCAGAGAGTGTAGTGACCCACCTCGTCTAGAACTCAGAGTCCTTGGGGGCCTCTGCTGCCCTGGGACCTCCAGCTGATGCTCTGCTCCCTTGCCAGGATACGTTTCTTTCCCAGAGTACCTCATAAACACTATTGGATAAGGGTCCTGAGGGATCCTGTGTACTCTCCTGGGTAGGGATGTGAATAGCCAACCTGGGTCTCTCTAAGCAGGGGCAGATGAACCGTGTCCACAGTCAGTCAGTCTTTGCTGCTGACCCAAACCTATGGGGAATGCCAAGGCAAATCTCTCTACCATGGAGTCCTGGCTACTGTGCACCGTGCCTCCGTCCTCTGCCTCCTGCACCAAGGCTAGAGCCCAGACCAGGTCTTCTCTCCATAGAGTGTAGAGTTGCCTCATTTCCTAACCTCTCAGCACTGCTGTGAACAGTTTCCAGGGGCCCTCCATGAGGAATGACTCAGAAGGTCAACCTCGCCCACATCTCTGGTCACAAAAGACTATTCATCCCTTATCCCTTTCCCTCACAGTGTCCTTCTTCGTGGTGAGCCTGGGGGGCACTCTGGTGGGGGTTGTCTTCGCCTTCCTGCTGTCCTTAGTGACCCGCTTCACCAAGCACGTGCGCATCATCGAGCCTGGCTTCGTCTTCATCATTTCCTACCTGTCCTATCTGACCTCCGAGATGCTGTCCCTGTCAGCCATCCTGGCGTAAGTCCCCCTCAAGGAACAGCCCTCTGCTATTGGCTGGGCTGGCTCTCTAGCTGGTGATGAGCCAGATACCCCTACACTCAAGCCCCGGCAGAAGGCACCAATGTGGGCAAAGGGTATTTTGGGTTCCCTGCCTTTACCCTGGTGAAGGGGTTGTGGGAGTGATCCCACAGTCCCTGCCCACTGTTTGCTCCTTGGAACATGAAATTGTGTAGCTGCCTTCTCCTATTGCTGGGAAGAAATTCATTGGCGGGGGCAAAGAATTCAACTTTTTAAAATAAGGAGTTGGCATGTCCTCAGGGTTGTCACTGGTTGGACAAGTGCCTACTAAGGGGGCAGGGTATATGTGCTATGGCTTGGGATTCAAGAATGATCTGTCCAGAAACCTCATCTGCTGGAACACAGTGTTATACTTGGGAAGGAGCCCCCTGACACCCTGAGTTGGCTCTGAGCTTCCCCCAAGGGTGGCATGACCTGGCCACCCACCAGCAACCAGTAGGCCCACAAAGCTGTGCGTAGACACGGAAGCTATCCCCTCATTGCAGTTCTACATGTCTAGGCTCAGAGAATGGAGGTAGCTTGCCAGCTCAGGGCATGAATCCTCAGGAACAGTAGGGTTCACACAGCACAGGACTGGCCAGTATAGAGGACACCTGCTGGGATGCAGAGGCCTACAATGGCATCAGAAGACCCTAGGGATGACAGAAGCTGGGCCTGGAAACATCTGGCCTAAAGGCCTAGCCCATCTGAGCAGACACAGCAAAGTCTCACACTGTTCCTCTCCAGCATCACCTTCTGTGGCATCTGCTGTCAGAAGTATGTGAAGGCCAACATCTCAGAACAGTCGGCTACTACTGTGCGCTACACCATGAAGATGCTGGCCAGTGGGGCAGAGACCATCATCTTCATGTTCCTGGGCATCTCAGCTGTGAACCCCCTCATCTGGACATGGAATACAGCTTTCGTGTTGCTGACGCTTGTCTTCATTTCTGTGTACCGGGCCATTGGTGAGGGGTTAGGGTAACTCATGATAGTGTCCAGGCTCCCTCAGCCCAGTGACCATGGATTTGAGGGCTCCATGGAAGCTCAGTGACCAGCCCAGCCACTGACCTCCATAAAGGCCAGGAGTCCTGAAGGAGCAACCTGGGGACCGAGGTGGCATGGAGAGACAGGGTCGGGGAACAAGAAGCTGGGGTGAGAACAGCACTGCTGCTGCATTCTAGTGGTACCTCTGGGATAGGCCCACTGCCCAGCGTCCACATCCAGCCACGGGGCAGAGGGCCACAGGGAACCATAAGGGGTGGCCTGGAGAAAAGCGGCCAGAGCTGAACGAACTCTTGCTGCAGGTGTTGTCCTACAGACCTGGATTCTGAATCGCTATCGCATGGTACAGCTAGAGACCATTGACCAGGTGGTCATGTCCTATGGTGGCCTCCGTGGGGCAGTGGCCTATGCCTTGGTGGTACTTCTGGATGAGGAAAAGGTTAAAGAGAAGAACCTGTTTGTCAGCACCACCATCATTGTGGTCTTCTTCACAGTCATCTTCCAGGTGTGGCTCAGCTTGCCCAGGGACCCCTGTCCCAAGGATACAGGCCTTGCTCCCACCTGTAAGGGTGGCTGGCCCTACCTCAGCCCTGTGGCTTGACTGTTTCTAGACTCCACACTTTAATTGGATTTTGTAATTTTAGTAATTAGGAGCATTTTGTAGGTTTTCATGTGCCCCCACAGGGGACATAACACAATTTGTCTTAAAAGGGCTGCTCCCTGGCTAGGACTGATGAGAACAGTCCCAGTTACTCCCTATCTGCTGACTGGCCAGGCCTTAACAGGCACCTACTCCACACTTGGATTTGGCTGATCAGAGTGACAGCTAGAAGGGTTGATGTCTGCATGAATGTGTGCACACAGGCTGTGGGGCCTTTTTTTTTTTTTTAACGGGCATGTCAACGGATGCCTGGGTCCCTGTACTGTCTGGGGTGGAAGAAATTAGTATCTGTCCTTTTGGGGCTCAGAGGGTCCTGGGGGTACTGGGGGACCTGCCTGGTGCCAGAATCAGCAAGGCTGTCTTCCAGGGTCTGACCATTAAGCCCCTGGTGCAGTGGCTGAAGGTGAAGAGGAGTGAGGAGCGTGAGCCGAAGCTCAATGAGAAGCTCCATGGCCGGGTAGGGAGAGGGTGTGAGTGGACAATGTGAGGAGGGGTGGCCTGTGGGTAGGCAGAGGTGAAGAGGGCCAGTCAATGAAGTTCCTTCCTTTGAAAGGCTTTTGACCACATCCTCTCAGCCATCGAGGACATCTCAGGACAAATTGGACACAACTATCTCAGAGATAAGTAAGTGGTCCAAACTATAATTCTTCCTTTTACCAGTGACCCCTCAACCACAGGTACGTGGATTGCCCGGGTGCAGATAGGGCCACTAAAAGCACTGGAAACCACACAAATTGCACCGCAGTTATTCAAAAGAGCCAGAAATGAACTATCTGCATCCCAAACTGGTCCCGAAGTGTGTATGTGTTGAGGGAGGGAGAGGAACAGAAGAAAACATATGGTAAGGGTCATGCACCCTGACTCCCAGGCTAAGGGCCCAAGTGTGCACCCGACCTGCAGGTATAAGCAGGTGAAAAAGGAAGTTAATACTAACAGAGAAGATGGTGCAGGCAACAAACCAGGGAATCTTATCCTGGTGATCTTCCCAGGCATAAAAAGAGACACCCTTTTACTGATCAATTAATTCTAAAATTATGTAGGAATTGAAAAACCAGGAAAATAATTCACCTCACCTTATGAACAGAGGAAAGGTGTGTTAGCCAACATTTAAAATTAATCTTGCTCATGAAACTGAAATCACTTATTTATATTTTACAACATTCAGTTAGCACTTAAAACTATTACAACTAAAGCACTCAACTTATATGTGTTGGTCCCTGTTTCATGAAATAATTTACCTAGGTCCCACATGAGGCTGCAGAGATAACCTGAGACAAGCATGCTAGGCAGCAGTGCCTTGGAAGCTGGAGCTGTGGCTGCTGGCATCTCGACCCCAGCCCTGTTCTCATAGCACCCTGAAAGTCAGATGACTACTTGGAAACCTGCTCACGGTGCCTCATGAGGAAATAGCATGTAGTTCCAGGGGCATTCCATTGACAACCACTGCCAAATAGAAGAAAGCAACAGTTGAGGCATGAGGTAGCATGACAGCCTTTCACGTTAAAATTCACCTTCAGGTGGTGACAGGAAATAAAACCCAGAAGAAGAGAGCACTTTCTTAGGTTAGGCCCAGCTCTGGCAGACGTTTGTCTGTTCTATCCTGTTCCTGTCTGTGTGGGGCAGGAAGCCCCAGACCCCCAATGCTGATGTGGTCATTTGTCCCCCAGGTGGTCCAATTTTGATAGGAAGTTCCTCAGCAAAGTCCTCATGAGAAGGTCGGCTCAAAAGTCTCGAGATCGGATTCTGAATGTTTTCCACGAGCTGAACTTGAAGGATGCTATTAGCTATGTGGCTGAGGTACTAGAATGTTCCTTTTGTCCCTCTGCTGGAGTTGAGGGCCAAAGTAAGACATGACAGTAGATTTCTTGGGCAAGGGCAGAGGGAACTGGAGAGGGGCTCCAATGCTCTATACGTTAATGCCCCACTGTAAAAGCTCATGTGAGGCTTGGAATTATACCCTGGGAAAAGGGCATGTCAGAACTTCCTGTTATTTGCAGGAAACTAAGGCATGGGCACAGTGACTGTCTAGACACTGTGGTTCTTGTGGGACTGAGCATGGTGACCAAATGCCTGTTTTCCTTCAGAGATGGGAGAGGATAGGAATTAGGGAGAGAATGATGGGCTGAGGTCCACCACCTGTTCACACATATACACACTTGCTTCAGCAAGTTGGTGGACTCCTTTCTGCTGACTGACAGCCCTGAGGAGCAGCCCCACATGTGCATACACAAAGGCATACACATGCATGCCCAAATGCATAGTCATGCCTACATAGACGTATGTGAACATGCACACATACCCATGTAGATACACACTTACATGCTGATGTACAGGTCATCCATGCCACATGTGTATATACATACAATAAGAGACATTCACACACATGCAGCTATGTACATGCATGTGTGCACACATATACGCACCTGAACACAATACACCCATGCATCCACACACATCAGCAAGTATACATGTGTACTCCTGAACATAAGTGGAACATATCTAGGCATACATTCAGAGGGAAAGCACAAGAATATCTTTGACTTCTTTAGGTAAAGAGATCCACCCCTAAGTCTTTGAGGCTGTTGGGGCCTTCAAGTGGCATTAATGAGCCATTTCAACTATGTGGGGAGAGACTAGCCCTGCTATGGCTACCCCACTGCTCATATTCAGGATTCAGGAGGCATTGAGTAAGATGATGTGTAGATCATGGCCAGTCTCAGTTTGACCCCACCCTCAATGAGAAACCAGGCCAGCTTCTCCCCTAATTACATACACATAAGTTGTGGCCAGTGTATTCATGACCCACCCACCCTTGCCTGGACCCCGTGGCTTCTGGCACCATGTATAGATAGGCATAGATCCAACCAAGCACCATATAACCCCATGTCCCTTGCCACCCGAGTAACAGGGTGGTACTCAGTCGGAGATGCCTCCTCTCTGAGGCAGAACTCAGAAGGCAAATATGCCAACCCTCTGTGACCTTGGATGTCCTGGTCACCATGACCTGGATGGAGGATAAGAGTGAAAGGGTGGGCTGGGGTCTCTGGTAGCTTCTACTTGCTACTTCCTCTCTCTCTGGGAAGTTCTTCGGCTTCCACTTGATATCAGGCAGGGCCCTTAGCGCCACCCCTGCTCCCTCCTCCCCCAGCCAGAAAGTCTTTGGCTTGTTCCTTCCTTCCCATCGCTTTTAGAGACATGGCCTCAAGACCCACAGGGGTGGTTTGTATGCATCAGTCCTGCCCGATGCTATTGCCAACCCTTGACCATTTGTCTAGGACCCCAACTACACTTTCCAGCTCCAAGTCCCTAAGTCTCTGCCCAGAGGGTCACCTGCTTTTTTTCCCCTGATGTCCCCCTACGGCAGAGAGTGCCTAGCATCATTGATGCCACAGGGATGGACAGCTGCCCACACCACACCTATGGATCTATGTGAAGAGGACGACGGACAGAAAACACAAAGAGCATTGTGTTTGGAAGCAAAATGTGTTTGGGACCAAAAAGTCCCAGCCCATACCAGTGATAAGTCAAACATCCAGAAGTAGGCAATCCCAGCTAAGCCTAAAGTGTTTCATCTGTCACTAGACTATCCACACAAACCCACCCTCTTCAAAGGGCTCCCAAAGGAGAATTTCGTAAACTGTAAGGTGCAATGCTCATGTTGATATGACTAAGGGAGGAACACACCTGATGGTCTGTTACTGCCTTAAACCCTTGGAGAAGGTGTCCTCTGGGGAACTTACCTGGGCCCATAGTCTACTCTGGCCTATGCTCCTCAGAGATCTCTCACTTTCATGACCCAGGCAGTGGACAACTCCCTTATCCTCCTGTGATTCTGCTTCCTGTCCAGCTCTGTTCAGTGTGGTTTTTGACTTGAATCCAATCTGGTCCTAAAACCTGTGAGATGGAGGCTGTGGCGTGGACAAAATCCAGCTCCCCAATCTTCCAGCAAGGGTGGTTCTATCCTAGACCTTCTAGTGTCCTTCAAGAGAGCCTCTCTCTAGCCACTGCTCTCTGTTTAACCCCTAGCTATCTTCCCCTCGAGTGAGGCTTTGATGGTCATCTCTACATGGGCCTAAATCCCAACTTTTGCCCTGTATCTTGGCCCTTGCAAAACTGTGAGGTGTCACTGGACAGTACTCAGGGTCTCAGGAAGGCTGGACTCCCCTGGGCTTCATCTTTGCCTCCCAGAGCCAGAGGCCCCTGAGATCAGCAGGATCCCAAGCTTTCCTGTGGCAGCTGCCTGTAGGGTTATCCCTGTGTGATAAGAAGTCTATGTCTTTCTTGTAGGGAGAGCGCCGTGGGTCTCTGGCCTTCATCCGCTCCCCAAGCACAGATAACATCGTCAATGTGGACTTCAGCACGCCCCGCCCATCAACTGTGGAGGCATCTGTTTCCTATCTCTTGTATGTGACTGGTTCATAAGCTTCTCTGGGAAAGGTTTCCCTCAAAAACAAAAACAAAACCTTCTCATGACCCTTAAGTCTTCCAGCTCTTGCAGACCCTTGGGCAACTGAATCAGGAAAGGGCAAGTGGCCTAGAGTAGGGGAAGAGTACAGAAAGGTGCCTGCATCCCCACCGATGGAAGCAGCCAGTACTATGTTCATGTTGCTCTGATACTGGAGAGGGAGAAGAGCTGAAGGGATCAGCAGTAGACACTTGTCCTGGTCCAGCATTTCATGCCTGCTAGCCTTGGGTAACTGATGGTCAGTTCTTATGATGGCAGCTTGTGCTAGATTTCCAGTGCTAAGGAGAGGCAGTGGGCAGGTGCCACTTCAGGGCTCATTATTGGGCCATGGAGGGGGACTGATGGTGGTGGGGGTCAACCTTAAACAGAAGTCTGGAAGGGTTCCTGGGAGCAAACCCAAGTAGAGTCCTGAGGAGGGAAGGGGCCACCAGGTATCTGGTGGGGCAGGAGATCACTGTGCAGTTACTCTGGGGAGAAGTTCTCCTAGGCTCAGTGTTGGTCCATGCAGGAGGGAGAACGTCAGTGCTGTGTGCCTGGATATGCAGTCCTTGGAGCAGAGGCGGAAGAGTATCCGTGACACTGAGGACATGGTTACCCACCACACACTGCAGCAGTACCTGTACAAGCCTCGACAGGAGGTAGGTGTCATGGGATGAGCCACCTAGACCCTTCTCCCAAGAATTGTGCTTTTGCCATTCCTTCTTGGATAGTTGGTGGAACCCAACCCCATCACTGGAGCAATATTTGCCCCTTCCTCAAGTACCTGGGATTAGGTCCACGTATAGGCCACTACCAAAGCCTCATGAGGGGAAGAGAGCCAAGGGTTAAACAGACAACAGTGGGTCTGAAGAACTGAGCTGGAGGCTTGGTGACCCACGTAAGCCACACAGGGCCTGACTGCCATTTGCTCCCACAGTACAAGCATCTCTACAGTCGGCATGAGCTAACACCAAATGAGAATGAAAAGCAGGACAAGGAAATATTCCACAGGACCATGCGGAAGCGTCTGGAGTCCTTTAAGTCAGCCAAGTTGGGCATCAACCAGAACAAGAAGGCAGCCAAGCTGTATAAGAGGGAGCGTGCACAGAAGCGGGTAAGAGCAGGCAGAGCCAGTGGTTGTTGGGTGGGCCCCAGGGGTTTCAGGAAGGGTCAGGGCACCCTCTGTGGTCTTGCTGGCCAGGCAAGCTGCCAGGCATCAAGATTTGCATGGGAGCAGAGACCCTTGGGGCCTAGGAAAGACCAGGTAGTTCCCTCCAAGTTCGGGGTCTGGGTATCCATACATCTTTAAGAGCTCACACTTGTTCACAGAGGAACAGCAGCATCCCTAATGGGAAGCTGCCTGTGGAGAACCTGGCACACAACTTCATCATCAAAGAAAAAGGTAAGGCCTACCCCTCCTGCCCCCTGCCCCTGGGCCTCCATTCACCTTGGGTGGGGAGGCCACTAGGCAGTGTGCCCCTAATGCCCTCTTTACATCCTCCTGTGGCTGTACCCATGGGCTGGAAAGAAGGCTCAGCTGTGAGTGGATGCTGCACTTCCAGGGAATCCAAGTTCAGTTCCCAGCACCCACATCAGCTTACAACCACCTGTAACCCTAGTTCCAGGGGATCTGATGCCCTCTTCTGGTCTCCATGGGCATTTGCATGAATGTGCACATACACATATACATAAATTTTTAAAAAATCTTTAAGAAAGAAGTGCCTCTTCCCCATATCTTTCCCTGTAGGCCTTGGAGGGGGGGCAGGTCCCAGCCCCTTTTCTCTAATGGACTCTTCTAAAAGGCCAAATATGGTTGGGGGTTTTATAAGGGAGCACCAGAGATGGTTCAGGCCTTTGTACAGCTGGCTCTAGGCATTTGACCACTGAGCTACCCAGGTTCTTCAATGACAACCTGGGTGGTGGGTCACCAGCCATCAAGAACTTGAGTCATCATCACCTGAAATCTCTTTTCCTTCTGCCATTTGCCACCCAGATTTGGAACTTTCAGAGCCTGAGGAGACCCCCATCTATGAAGAGGAGATCAGTGGGGGCATTGAGTTCCTGGCCAATGTCACCAAGGATGTAACCTCTGACTCTGGAGCAGGTAAGAGGAGAGGCCAATGGGAGGGATGCCCTTGCTGCCTCAAGTAAACTTAATCACTAAAGGAAGAAGCCTAGCATATTCTGGAGGTTGAGTTTAGGGTATTTAGTGTCACCACTCTTCACCCTGATGTCTCCCTCGGGTGGGTGCCAGGTGTGTCTGGAGGGAGGTGTTGCCTATCCTGTCTAGGTTGAACAGTACCTCACATGTGGAAGGAAGGTGAGGTGAGGGCTAAATGCATAACTCTGACATTCCAGGTTACCCTGAAGGTGGTGGTCACAAGAGGAGCTGACATCAACACCCAGTGCAGCGCCTACCCCCCCCCCCTTACTGCCCCTTAGGAGTGTTTCTTGGAGGCTGACCAGCTGCTGCCCTTTCTCCTAGGAATTGACAATCCTGTGTTCTCCCCTGACGAGGACCTGGACCCAAACATCCTGTCCAGGGTGCCGCCCTGGCTGTCTCCTGGGGAGACAGTGGTGCCCTCCCAGAGGGCCCGTTTCCAGATTCCCAACTCTCCTAGCAACTTCCGCCGCCTGACACCATTCCGCCTCAGCAACAAATCTGTGGATTCCTTCCTGCTGGCTGACAGACCTGAGGAGCAGCCCCACCCCACTTTCCCTGACTCCACACACATGTAACTGGCTCCTTCCTCTAACACCTACTCTCTCCCTAGCTGTTGCCTTCAAACCTCTTTCCTGGACCTGCACTCTTCAGACTCTGCAGCAGCTTTCTTTCCTCTCTAGGACATCTGTCCAGCTGCGTATTTCTTAGATGACTGACAGAGGACCCCCATTTGAGTCTCTGCTTCACTAGCTAACATGTAGAATCCAGCTGGCATGATGGTGTATATCCATAACCCCAGCATCTGGGGGAGAGAGGTGGAAAATTGAGTTTAAGGCCAGCCTGGGCATCAGAGAGGTCTTGTGGTCAGGTGTCAGGTCCATTTCAAATGAAGATGGAAGTTTTTTTCTATCTGGTGGACATTTGCAGAGGCCTTTTTATTGGTCTAATAGGAAATGAAGCCCACCCATTTACTGTTGGTGATTCTGAGAAGCTCTGTTGGCAAGGCTTGGTAGGACTTTATAGTAGCAGCAGCTCTTTCTCGATGAGTAGTCCAGTCCCGAAATGGCGTAGCAGTGACAGGAAACCTGCACAGCCCCAATGCTGCTTCCTTCTGCCTCTTGGACCTTGCTTCCCCCTTTCCTCAATGTCGCCTCTAAATTCTACTGTTCTGAAGCAGAGTTTTGGGTGCCCAGAATCTTGTGGCAGGTTTTGGGGGCAGGAGTACCTGGGGGTGGGTATGGCACTGCAGCCTCTTGTAGAGAGGGCTGCTGTCCAGGGCAGGGTCTAAAAGTGTCAGAACGCTGGGTGGTCTAGGTCGGCAGGCTGCCCAGTGCACAGCCGTCCAGGAAGGTTCACCGATAAAGGTTGCAGTAGCGTCCAGCTGAAGAGCCCGGCAGTGGCAGTCGGTGTGGACGGCTCTGCGACCCTCCCTGCGCCTCAGCCCGAGGTTCGCCCACCCATGATCACGCACCTGGTTCTGGGCACCCACCGAGGCACGCGGCAGCGGCACGATCGGAGGGAATTTGGGGATAAACACATTTCCGCAGGCCAGCGTGGAGCCACTCACGCCCTGTCTCCCTGCAGGTGACACCGGCTCCGACACACCGCTTACTGCACGTTCGTCCCCGCGTCGGCCGCCCCTCGCGGCCCAGCAGCCCTTACTCCCTACTCGGCTGGCCCGCCCCCGCGCCCCGAGCCCCCGGCCGCCCGAGGGTGCTGCGCCCG